ATGATGATGATGACGATCGTCAGGACTTCTGGAAGGAGACAGATCCCTCGCTATGGGTTTGCCAGAACTCTGCCCAATAACAAGAAAGATTTTATTAAAACAAAGAGCAACAGCTGAGGTAGAAACTAAGAAGGATCTGGAAAGATTCTGGACAAACACTGAGATTGCATCTCACCCTTATAGAGTGCTTCATTGATTGTGTCTTCTGCTCTGTAGTTTTCCTGCTTCTCTCACTGTACTCTCTGTTTAACTGAGCTGCAGACAACGGCCTGTAGTCATCATGCTCTTGTTTGGAGGTGAACGCCACGTGCCTATCACTCTGTTGAGAATCTGTAGATTTTTCCACTTTCTGTGTCTGCGAACATTTGAAATACTTGGGAAGATGTTGTTGGGAAAGACTTTGCTGTGAACGTCTGTACATTTCATCCTCGGGCTCTCGTCTGTACCGGTGCCTGTCATCAGCAGCAGCAAGCCTTCGCTTTTTGTTTCCGTCAGCATGGCAATCAGGAGAAAGTGAGCGTCCTTCTTGACTTTTTCTGCTCCAGTCTCTGCTAGTTCCGTTGTTACTGTGCCATCTCTTAGGCGAGTTGCTGTACTCTTTACTTATTCTACTGTAAGTTTCACTTTGTCTGCTGCTGTGTCCACTCCTACCATGTTGATGATGGGAATCCGAATGTGTATCACTACGAAATTCATGCCTCTCTTCCTGTTTGTCTTGGTAGTTACCTTGATGCCTGGAACCACTGTCACTATACTGCCGTCTGTGATCCGTCTGCTCAGATCTGCTTGAGTACATTATCTCAGAGCAGCTGTGTCAACAGGGTGAATGTCCAATACTGTAAAACAAATAGGCAGCTTTAAAACCGTGAAGACATTATCACTTTAAAAAAACAACTTTAAAACCGTGAAGACATTATCACTTAAAAAAACAACAACCATAATCCTTCATTTAACTCACATTTGGTTGGCTGGCTAAGAGTTTAATTGTAGGGCTTTATTTAGTTGGAGAACATACACCTGCAAACAACTATTAAACCTTAAGGTGTCTGGGTAAAGTAAGACAATTGATAAGGTGTACTGTCCCATTTGTTGATTGCAGGAGATATTTAACTGTCAGAACTTATAATGCTACCAGAATAGGACATTTAAAAAATGTTACTTATAAAGTGTCACTCATAACCCCTTTTCATTCAGGGGCCACTATATAATATGACACCAGTTTTATTTGCAGAGTCACAAATAATAAGATAAAATATTTTTTCTGCCCCCTTTAGGCTCAACGCGCCTACAAAAACAATTAATTTATAATAAGAAATACATATCCAAACACATTGTACCTGAAAGAACGAACTCTAACACAAAATCGCAATCTCAAATCAGAAACATTTAACTTAAGTCAGACGCAAATGGGAATCTAACTAAAACACGTGCTGTAATGGACGACAACAGTCCATTTGTTCTTATACGGAAATCTACGAAATACATTGACATATTTGTTCCTTTCCGCATCGTTAAACATGAATAAATAAAGACGTTTTTGCTTTGATAAACAAATGGAATATGGTTTAATTATCCTTTGACATAATCACCGACGCAGATATTTGGCTAAAGCCAGTAGCTGTTAGCTATTAGGAGCACATACTCGACATCTAGAGCCATCTTTTTCTAGTACTTCAACATGTTACTGCTCCTAACCAAAAGAGTATGATTATATATAGCATAATGATATACAGCCTGTTTACGAGCGATATGCAATTCTGAGTACAAATAGCCGTAACTAAATTGGCTAACAAACATAACTTGAAATGTTACCCAGGTCGCTGGTTACCGTCTCTTCCTGTACGAGGAAATCCAGACAATACACTCTAACCTTGTAGAATAACCCCTAAACGTTTAAATACCCCCAAAAAATGTTTTAGTGAACAAACATTTCTACATAAACCGACCACTATAAACATCTCGTCTCCACGCACCTAATTACCGTCCTTGTTTTGTTTGGATGTACGCTGTTACAAATTGAAACACTGCCACTTGCTGGGTGGAGTGTGTATAACCTGCAAGCAATGCTACTAGTTACCATACATACATTTATTCATTACCGTTGTACACAGTCTACAGTTACATAGATACAGTAGGTAAATTAGCCTTGTTAGCCAAGGCCTGATTTACATGCTTTTTTGGTTTCTCCTTTAGTGGTCTTTCTCTCGTAGGTTGGCTGCTTACAGGCTCAAAATGTGACGCTTGTGGGGAGGCGTGATCCTACAGATGGAATTAGGAAAAAGAAAGTGAACTCCTTGTCATTGTGACATTGTGACACACATCACTGCACACAACAAAATGTGACCTCTGCATTTAACCTATCACCAAAATAAACAGTGGGCAGGTTTTGGAGCAGTGTGTGGGGACGGTGCCATGCTCAAAGCACCTCAGTGGTAACTTGGCAGCTGGTGGATTCGAACCTGCAACCTTCCGGACCCAAGTCTGCTCAAAAGCACTGTGGTGCCCAATCGGGCTTTGAGTCTTCCTTCACCTCCCAAAGGAGTGCGCAAACCCAGATATTGTATGTTGTCATTTTGGACCATCCACAGCTTTTCCTAGGGATGTTTGCGTCATTAGTTGTTGCTGTATGTTGTCATTTTGGACCATCCACAGCTGCATTTCCTAGGGATGTTTGGGTCATTAGTTGTTGCTGTCTGTCCAGTCTGATACATGAAATCCGTCATATTTGGTCCATCTTCTATCCTGCAGCGCGGTGGACCACCAGGCTGTCTTCTCTCTAACATGAAAAGAGAGAATGTATATTGTTTGCATACACGCAAGTTTCCACCCAGATACTGCTTGCTTACATGGATTATCCTACAGAAATGTGAAATTGAAAACAAATTTTATTTGTATATTGTAAAGTTTGTAGACAATTTCAAGGTGTACAATATGAAATGATCATTTAAATAATAACAAAAACAAATAAATAATATGTAAAATAATTTTATATAATAGTCGTCATCATCATCATAAGCATTACAAAAGTAGGACAATTATCCGTAAATGAATGAAATTAGTAAAAGAAGAGGTGCAATGGTGTAACCCAATTACACCGCTTGACATTTCACAATAAAACTCAAATTTGCAGGGATTATTGAGGAGAAATGTGCAAACACTAGAACTTGGTGTGAAGATTTAAAACTGTTTAATATTTTATGATTATTTATGTTTATCAACATTTTACTGAGGTCATACCATTTGAGAAGGTTACTAACCTTGACTTTCTTGTCAGAACTGTCACGTTTCTCTATTATTGTTTGTCATTAAAAAAGATTTAAAAACTGTTAGGAAGAAGGTAGATCAGATTCGAAAAGAAATGAAGTAAGAAAAGCCCTGAAGAGGATGAGGAGTGGGAAGCCAGTTGGTCCCAATGATATACCAGTGGAAGTATGGAATAAAAGTTGATGAGCCATACAATGAAGATTTGGGAAAGAGAAGTTTAAGCCAGGTTGAGGCAGGAAGTGGAGATTTGTGAACAACAGTATGGTTTCATGCCTAGAAAGAGTACCGCAGATGCAATATTTGCCTTGGGGTCTAATAGGAGTCCCCATGGACTATGCCTGGGGTGCCAGTATAGATCTCAAAGGAGTTCCCGAGCAATTACATTTAAAGAAACCGAAAAAATTAAAAATGATAGATTTAATTATATTTTAAGAATTCTAATCACAAGGGCTTAAGTAAGGACCATAGAAGTATTGAGTCAGACAATACAACTACAGCCACAGACTAAGTACATGTGTGTAAACAAAAGGGAGAACAGTAAAATGGTGAGGTTACAAGGAGCAGAGGTGGTGAAGGTGCAGGAGTTTAGGTACTTAGGATCAACTGTTCAGAGCAGCGGAGACTGTGGAAGAGAGGTGAAGAATAGAGTACAGGCAGGATGGAACAGCTGGAGAAAAGTGTCAGGAGTGATCTGTGACAGAAGAGTGTCAGCTAAGGTGAAGGGAAAGGTTTACAGGACGGTGGTGAGACCAGCCATGATGTATAGTTTAGAGAGAGTAGCAATAGGCAGAAGACAGGAGGAGGAGCTGGAGGTGGCAGAGTTAAAGATGCTAAGATTCTCTCATGAATGAGGTCATGCGAGGAACAACACAGACAAGAAGGTTTGGAGAAAAAGCTAGAGAAGCCAGATTGAGATGGTTTGGACATGTGCAGAGGAGGGACAGTGGATACATTGGTAGAAGAATGTTAGAGATGGAGCTACCAGGTAGGAGATGCAGCGAGGGAGGACATGCAGATAGTTGGAGTCAGAGTAGAAGATGCAGAGAACAGGGAGAGATGGAAATCAATGATCTGCTGTGGCAACCCCTAAAAAAGGAAAAAGCCGAAAGGAAAAGAAGATTAAGAAAGATTTTTAAAAAATTGAAAAAAAAAGATAATGCCAATATATTTCAGAGGCTGTTTAGAACATAAATAAAAATGTTTTTCAATAACTTATGGTAACACTATTTAAATAATTTTGCCATTATTTTCTCAATATCTAAAGGCGTCATAAAATTATTTAGATATTAGAAAATTATATTTATTAGTTATTTCAAGATAGGGGTAAAGTATAACATTATCATGACATTTTCACATTTCTAAGTTATTCAAACCTCGGGGACAAAATCATCTCTCACTTTATTACAGTAATAATATTGACATTGTTATTATGACCATCGTGTTACCAGGATCACATCAGCAGAAACTCCACAGTCATCAAATGACTATTTACATTCTTTATTAGATTTTCCAAACCGGAAGTAATTAAAATGACAGCCAAGGTGCAGCAATTTCCATATCTACAGTGGCAACATCTCTCACAAAAATTCCCCTTGTGTTCAGTTTACATCACTACAATCACTAAGGAGGCGCTGCCTTCGCTCATACGCAGCAAAACATGTTAAATGATGCTCCAATCACTGGCAAAAGTCTGTGTTAATGGTGTCAGGAGGTGAGGGGGTGAGAAGCATAGCAGTCGGAGAGAGACAAGATCAGAGTCTCGCAGCTGTTTCCTGCGACCCAGCAAGGCTCAGCAATGTCCAGCAGAGGGAGCTGTAAGAGAGCGCAAAATAACACTTCTATTAGCCCATCAAGTGATGAAACTTGATGAAGATTTAGATTAGATTTATAAAAATATACTAAATATTAGTAGGTATAAACAGATTAACTATATTTACACACAAAAAATGCTGTGGTCTCCATCAAATCTGTATGTGTTGTTTATGTATTGCACAGAAGCAGAGTATATTCCTCTGGTTATCTATTGACAGGGTGATGACTCCTGATGTGATGGTGTATGTGTGTGTGTGTGTGTGCGTGTTCAGGGAGACAGTGGTCTGAGGAGCTTCTTCACGTGCATGTGAAAAAGACAAATTGTGTTTAACAACATGCTTGTGTTGAATAAACCTTTACGGCTTCTTAATGCTGTTGAAAAATTAAATTAAGAAAAAACAAAACAGCAGGTTGATGCAACAGCAGGTTGATGCATCCTACTGTACCTCCTCACTGGTACAACTTCATCTCTGTGTCCACGCAGTCAAAAAACAGATCTCCTAGTTCGTCTCCCTGGATCTCCCCCCTGAGCATGGCTGAAATCTCCTTCAGACATTGCGACTCCAGGTCCCTCAGAACATCATAGACAGCCAAGCCCTTGAAAGACGGGGGATTTAAGCCACATCAACTGAGGAGTTGAAATAATATTAAATCCTTCAGTCATTAAAGGAGCACGGGTTTTGAGTCAGCAGTGACACTATCCTCTTTATTGTCTGCCTTTCCTTTCTTTTACAAGTGACCTTTATGTTTCTAGGTTAAATGAGAATAAATTGGACTGGTCAGTTATGTAATATGATGCACGCAGAAGTGCAAACAATGGTTTGGAATATCCTGATTTGAACTGAAAAATATATAAGTTGACAGTGTTCTAGACATGTTTATTTAAATCTTTTAAAATTAGACTCGGAACACTCTTGGTGGGAATGTGAATGAAACCGTTTTTATGCTGTATTTACCAAATTATCTTTGTTGACATGACCTTAATCAGGTGCGTAATATTTAAAGACTCCTAACGCTCCAGCAGTGGATCACTAGGTTACACTGATTAAGGCAGCAGTGCTGTCACCACAGCCAACATGTCAGTTCTAAGGTACTGTCTTTGTCCATGGGAGAATCACTATTCTGCTGACTTGAACGTTGACTAATTCTTGTTGAAACTGTTTGAGCGCCAAACGTTGTGTGATTTACTTGACAAAACATTTGTCCGTGTTTTCCAGACTATAAGTCGCTCCGGAGTATAAATGGAACCAGCCAAGAAATGCATAATGGAAAAGAAATAAAACACACACCGTAATATCTGGTCTATAAGCCACTACTTTTTTCACACACGTTGAACCCTGTACCTTAAACAATGATGCGGCTAATTTATACATACTTACGGGCTAACGAAGTTCATACCGCTAGCAATCAATGACTTTTCTGGTCGGCTACTGTGTGTTATACTAATGGCTGTGTGCGTATATGTGCGTGGCGCGCGCAAGAAAGGAACAGTAGTGAATGTTGAGAACACTTTGAGCACTGTCATGTATGAAGTGCGAGTCGGTTATACAGGCGCCGTTAAAACTCGGTGTGGCTGATAATAAAGACCCTTCTGTTTACCTCTGCTGCAGACAATCACAAAGTGAAGGGAGTTAGCATCGGAGCTAATGTTAGCTTCGGCCCTGGAGCAGAACACTAAGTCTCCGCTGAACATTCCAACTACAATCGGGGGCACCGAAGCAGGAAAGAGCTAACGTATAACCAGCTGTGTTACAGGCACTGTTTGGAGAAAAAAAATGTATTTAATTAAAAGTGAAAAAAAAATCTTTCTATGTAGACATCTGCAGCTTATAGAAAAGTGTGGCCAATATATGTACAATTATTTTTTTCTTTTTAAATGTAATGGGCACAGATTATATTCAGGTGCGCTCAATAGTCACAGAAATTATGATATATAAGGTGCTGCGGAGTATAAGTGTATAAAAAATACATAACGAAGAAGAAAAAACATAAATGAGCCGCTCCGGAGTCGTCGTCTTTTTCTTTCGGCTTTGTCCCTTTTTCAGGGGTTGCCACAGCGAATCATTGATTTCCATCTCTCCCTGTTCTCTGTATCTTCTACTCTGACTCCAACTATCTGCATGTCCTCCCTCACTGCATCCATATATCTCCTCTTTGTCTCCTACCTGGTAGCTCCATCTCTAATATTCTTCTACCAATGTATCCACTGTCCCTCCTCTGCACATGTCCAAACCATCTCAATCTGGCTTCTCTAGCTTTTTCTCCAAACCTTCCTGTCTGTGTTGTCCCTCTAATGACCTCATTCCCAATCCTGTCCATTTTTGTCACTCCTAAAGAGTATTTGACTCCAGCTCCGCCTCCTGTCTTCTGCCTATTGCTACTGTCTCTAAACCATACATCATGGCTGGCCTCACCACCATCCTGTAAACCTTTCCCTTCACCTTAGCTGACACTCTTCTGTCACAGATCACTCCTGACACTTTTCTCCAGCCGTTCCATCCTGCCTGCACTCTATTCTTCACCTCTCTTCCACAGTCTCCGCTGCTCTGAACAGTTGATCCTAAGTACCTAAACTCCTTCCCCTTCACCACCTCTGCTCCTTGTAGCCTCACTATTTCACTGTTCTCCCTTTCGTTTACACACATGTACTCTGTCTTGCTGCGGCTGACCTTCATTCCTCTTCTTTCTAATGCAAACCTCCACCTCTCTAGGTTCTCTTCTAGCTGCTGCCTACTCTCACTACAGATCACAATGTCATCTGCAAAAAACATAGTCCATGGGGACTCCTGTCTGACCTCATCTGTCAATCTGTCCATCACCACAGCAAACAAGAAGGGACTCAGGGCCGATCCTTGATGTAGTCCCACCTCCACCTTGAGGTCTTCTGTACTTCCAACTACTTCTACTACTACTACTACGTCCTCACTACTGTTGTACTGTTCTCATACATGTCCTGCACCAAACTAACATACTTCTCTG